TCATGCTACACAAGGGCAGTCCAGGTGATGGACAAGCAACATTTGAGAGGATTTTGACCTGTATTTAACTAGCAGTGAAAGCTTATTATAACATTTGGGTAACAAAGCCCACCAGGATTCACAGGGATCAGGACTCCTGACTTAGTTTTCCAGCCATTTTGGAGCTATGCAAAGACCTAGAAAAAAACAACCCACAAACTTACTGAAATTATGCTACAGATAATACAGTTCCAACTATGTAGACAATGATGCTTTTGAGTCAAACTGAAGGTCTAAGTACACCAGATCCCCGTAAGAATTATGACTTCCAGCATATAATTGTTTTGTGTGAGCAAGTCTTCCTTTTTATTTTAAAGTTCAGCATGATTAACTTTATTTTATTTATCTTTTAGTTCTTTTGTTATGAGAAATGCATGTACCAAAGCATGCTCTCAGATTTCTGGAACTCAGCAGGAGCTGATAGTATGATTCACAGCCTCCACTTCTGCCTGGCTTATGTTACTGCTGTCCCAAACATGCACTATCAAACAGCATGTCAACATCCTGTTGACTGATCTAGGGAACAAGCGGATGTTCTTTCCAGCAATATCAGGTATTAGATTAGAGAGGTGGCCAGAATCAGTGGCTCTAAGCTATCCTGTCTGATCTTTGGACATGGCAACATTCTAAATAGTCACAGAGAGTCTGCAAAACTTCGCCCACTGAGCACTTGGCCTTAACCATTTTACCTCTATAGTGTCATTAAAAGAAAAGCCATATTGTTCATGGAAAGCCAAGCACAGGGCTGTAGAGATGATGCAGAGTCTCCCTACATTTCCATTTCACAGAGTGATGGCATATTTGGAGAAGGATTTTGTATTCTAATGACACTGGAGGTTCCCCTGAGAACAGATGCTTTACAGACATAAATGGAAAAGAACTTGCCCCAAATAAATGAAAATCTTAAGCAAGGATGGCTTAAACACAAACAGGCACACTACATCCTTCAACTGCAGATAGTTGTCAGATAAGGCAAAGCAGGGGGCATGCTGTGTTCCAGGAACAAGAGTATATTCCAAAGGTTCAAGTAAAAGTCAGAGGGGTGCAGATGTGTGAGATACAAAGTAGGAAGGAGAGCTGATCTTTTATCTCCAGAGTAAATCCTTCTCTTACGGCCTTATGTGAGGGTCAAGAACATGTTCAGTAACAATTACTGCTGTTACTGCAGACAGAAAATTCCTGCTCTGTGCCCCAAGGATTTCACAAGTAAGTTGCACTTACAGTCACTGGCAGCACATGAAACATGAGTTATATTAATATCATAGCTCATCCTGCGTAATAAGTCTACCTTTAATCCTTTTTGCATGGTCACAAAGTATTCATTCTCCATGATATTCTCCAGACCTGAGTTGGCCCATACGGGGGACTAGTAATCTATGGCCAGTAATCCACACACTCTTAGCACAAAAATAAATGGAAAACTGAAAGGAAACAAGAGGACTCAAGTCAGGAAGAAGACCCTACCACACAAGATCTCAAACACAGACTATTATTTCTTCCAGAGATGGAGAAAAAAGTAATCAGTAGAAAATTGTATTTCACAGGTTGTCCAGAGCCAAATGCTTTCCCGAAACATCTCTCATACAATGTAAACCTCCTCCATGATTCAGCCTAGCTTTTGCTGCACCATAGCTGTACCTCTTCTTGACCTGCAGAAAGTCTCCAAAGTTTGAGATCCATCCCAGTCACACACAGCTCACCAGCCTGGCAGGTTAGAAAAGCCCTAAATGCATAGCCAGCAGAGGAGAGGAGAAAACCAACACCATCTCTCACACCAGCAGGCCAGGTGACCATGGCACATCACCTGGTGGGACACACCACTGGCTCATGCAAATGTGGCCATCAGTACAGGCATGCATCTTGAACTCCCAGCCAGGCAAGAACAGCTTCAGACATTGCTACATCCCCTCCTTAGAAGGTCCAGTTAGTGGATCCAAACACATTCTCCTGGGCTGGGAGACTGTGTAGGGTGAACAATGAAAAATATTACTGACAGCTTTCCATCCAGCCTCTTTCAAACTTGTCACTGTTTTTACAGGCTGAGATTATAGATTTTGCATTCTGTTTTGTGATGAATATCCAACAAAGACAGGGATTTCTTGTCTGATGTCCTATTGCTGTCAGGCATAACTTCCTGAAGAGAGGCTTTTTCCTTTGGCTTATTTATTTATTTTCCTTCGAGTGCAGCCTAAACCCTCCCTTCCTGTTGGGAACAGCAGCTGTGGCATGTAGCATCAGATTGCCAAGCCTGAACTACTGTGAAATATCGTATAACCTGGGGCAAGATAGTATCAAAGAGAAAAACCACGTGGGCCTGACTATGAATTGATTACATATCTGTGCTTAAGAATAAGTTGCAGTATCAGAGGAGAAAGAGGTCCCACTTCTGAGCTAACACTCTTCAACCTGAAAGGACTGTCATACCTGAAAGAACTACTGAGACAAAAAAGGAATTTTGGTTTCCTTGCTCACAAAAACCCTCTGAGCTTTCAAAGGTTGGAGATTATTCACCAGGGCAGGAAACATATACTTCTTCTGTAGGTTAATGGGAACATGGTAGCCCCAGAAGATCAAGTAACCATCTGATGAAAACCACACAGTTGACACAGACACTTCCCAGCATACCTGAGTTATCCCACACATCTGGGGAATCCTGTATAAATGCCATAGCCCTTAGATAAAAACTGCTTTCAGCTACCCCTGCATTATCTTCACCCATTCACCTTTTTGGGAGGCTTTTTTTGCCAGGAACAACCACTATATTTAAATTTTAGGAGAGAGTTCACACAAGCTGCAAATTATTGATTGATCACATATTTTCCCTACCATCCCCCACCACCATTTCTCTTCTGGGCGCCTTCAGTGCCTTCCATCCCCAGGGCAGCCAGCTGAGGGCTGGGGCAGCCAGAGAGCACTGGGCTTCTCTTTGTTTTGCCAGCCAGTCTGAGGCTCCTCCGGAAGCGTGCTGGGCTGCAGGGAGCTGCCATGCTCACTTCCCTTTTCACCCGCACATATTTCCCATTAAAGATGAGTGGGAAAGGTCAGGGAGGGTCTCTTTAATAGCCAGCTTTAGAGCAAGCAACAGCCTTGGGAAATGCATCCCAGACATCTGAGAATCCCAGTTTTTTCAATAAGCAAAGAAAGAAGTCCTAAGAAAAGTGGAAGTTATCAAGCATTGCATGGAAGCAAAGAGGTTAAGCCCTAGGAGCTAATCAGGATACATTTCGGGCAGCGCACTTGGATGCATGAATGCCATTGTGAGTAGTCTGTCACAAAACTTCTAGGAAGGATCTAGACCATGGCACTAACGTAATGAAGGCAACAATACCATCACTACCATCAATCCTTCAATTAAGCAGCAGTGGCCAAGTAGTCTTTTCTCTACAGCAGTTCTGAAATCCTCAGGGATCAGGGTGATGAAAGATTTAAATGTAATAACTTTGCAGGACAACAATTTTCATGCCCCAGAACAGGAAGCCACAATTTTACATAAGCATGTTGTGCTTCAAATATAGATGCAGTAGATAATGTGTCCATCAGTATTTTCATAGAGAAGCTATCTGGTGTAAATCAATGTTGTGCTATTGAGTTGAAGCCAGTGGAGCAACGTCAGGAGTTTTTGCTATTATTTTTCCCTCTTTGTTTTGCACTTTGCTCTGTGTATCACTAAATGTTCCAGGACTCTCTACCACAAGCCCAGAGTGTGGAAAACACTGACCAAATTTGCTTACTGTATCCATGCTCAAAAACAAGCTGCTATTTGTCATTGGCATGTAAATAAGTCACTGTTCTTTCCACCGAATAACTGTTAAATAAATACTGTGAACCAAGTTTGCAGCATCAGTTTCTTGTAGGAGGCCACTGAGATGATTTCACAGAAAAATCCTGTGACAATTTTGCTAAACAGGATGAGTCTTGGTCTGAATTTCATTACTCTGGTTTTTTCCACTTCCATTCCAACAGTTACTGTGCTTTTGCTATCACAGACAGGCAGTAGTTCATCCTGACTCAGAAAAACCAGAAAAATGAAACTTTGTCAACTCTTCTTAGTGTCTAAGGCATGTTATAAATTACTTTGGATTTTGTTATGACCTGGAAGTCCTAGCCCATGTCAACCACAGGCTGACAGATAGCTTTAAATGGTAGCAATATAAACAAGGTAGCCTAGTCCAGGCTGAAAAATTTGCTGTGGAGTATGAGTAAATTAAACCATGCAGACCAATAAATATATCCTAATTATAAACACCGCCCACCTGCAGACTAAAACAAAAACAACGGGACTGGGAGGAGGACTCAGTGATCTCAAAGGCCTTTTCCAACCAGAATGATTCTGCGATTCTGTGAAATCAGTTGTAGGTTCTTTATTCTACAATTACAAACTGAGGCAGAGATTTAGTGCTTTGCCCGAGGTGCCATAAGAAGTTTGTGCCAGAGCCAGGACTGGAGTTACCTGTACCTCATCCTGTGCTGTAGCCAAAGGTTCCTCATGTTCTGAGCACAGGGTAGATTCATGCTGTACATGGAGCTAACTACTCTGACCCAGTAAACATCATTTTCAGTTTTCACCCATTAAAAGGACAGAATCAGTTAGACTGTGAGTGTTAAGGGTGCTGCTGGGCAATGAAAATTGAAAGCCCTGCTTTCGCTCTCACCCACTGATGACAGGCATTTTGGGAAGGGAGTCAGCAGCAACTTTTGCACTTCAAAGAAATAATATCAACAGTGGTGAGTAGGCATTTGGGGAGTGAATCTAATAGGTGTGCCTGCATTTGGCTAAGAGTGAAAAGAGCATTTTCTTTCCACTGGTTGCTGGCTAGTAAAACCAAAGGGGTGGAATATATCCAACTTGCAAAACTTGAATACAGTTACTGCTATCTGCAAATGGGTGCCCCTCCCCGCTCATGTGAGCTACACAGGCAAAAGAGAATGACACATGTGCTGTTTCCTTTTCCAGTTGTAAAGGGGTCAGGAGCCAGGCAAGGAGAGCCCGAACAAGAGGAGCATTTTCCTGGGCTCTTCCAGCTGTTCTGTTCAACCCCGCTGTCCCTTCTGAGCAGGGAAGAGAGACTGTCAACACAAATAAGGCATTTTTCAAAGGCATAAATTATGAGTTACCAAAACAATGCGACATCTCAACCACGTGAGTAGCCTTATCCCCCCCTCCTTACAGTAAGAGTGGATTTACCAGTCTGCCGCTTAAGGAAGAGATTGTCTAATGCATTTCATATGGCGGGGGG